ATTGTTTGCTCAATGAAAAGTTACCTGTGCAGTTTGGAATGCAGGGCACCGAAATCACTGCACTGTATTTGGATTGGCCCTCTTTAAGTCTGCCCCAACTACTTCCGGTGAGGGTAAATGCAATTTGAGGTTTCTTTTTGAATGCAAACAGTCAGACAAAACATCTTTTAGAATCATGAATGACAGGTATTTAGGAAAGGAGATACACAGTCAGTATAGAAGACCGGTGGCAGCCAGTGGGACACACTGACAGATCACTAGGTGGTGGCAGCGAGCAGGACAGAGGACACTTGTGTCTGAGGGATTTTATTAAATATCTCTAGTGACATATCTTTTAATATACTGATTAGAAGGTTATTTGGCCCCACTCCCCTTCCACTGTCTTCATTGTGAAGACAACAGTAAATCTGAACTTATTTTAGTGTGAGAACTGAACAAATGGCAGAAATATTACAATATTGAACAAGTAAAGGTGGAGGGGGTGGCATTACAGTTGTTTGCAATTTCTTTTCTCATAACCTGTCAGTCAATAAAATAATATTCTTTGACAAGTGCACTAAGTTTAATCAGCTCCACCTGTATTTTCTTAACAAATCACATATTTTCCCCTTTTTTCTTTGGAATCAAATGCAAAGAAAGGTGGCATAAGTCACATGTCATATTTGACTAGTACAAGACTTCATACAAAAACTGAACTTTCCAATCTCACTTTCAATCTCACAAAGAACAATTTAACACCTGTCTACTGGGTAATTTCCCATTAACCGCCAGTTAATGACACGTTTTAGGCAGGCCAGTGGCTTGACGGGGGTAATTTCATTTTATACTTTATCTTCTGTTCTTTTTCTAAAAAACACAGGGATGATAATGGACCTTGTTTACAAAGTAAAAATTGCAGAGGCATTTTATCAGTTTGTCGTGACCGTACATATATTTCCCTCTTTAGTTTATTTCCCTGGGCTGTGCAATTTTTTTATATCGATGAAGTCATCAAGTGTCAGTGGCAGTGCCGAGTTTCTTGTCGTTATGAAAAACATTTCCTGTTGTTTTTAACCATACAACCAATGATACCAGTGAAGTATTCTACACAGACTGAATTAAGTGGTTTACACTGTTTCGTTCACTTTTCCTGTGGTCATATTTCTTAGTTTCTAGTACTTTAAATGAGCTCTTTCATTGTTCATGTACAGTACTTCCCTTTCAAGACATCTTACATATTAGTCACAAGAAGCATGGCACCAATTTTTGTTTTAATCCCAGCCTCATTTGCCCTTACGGCAGCCATTTTTTATTTTTCTTTTTTTGCTATAAACAACATCTAATGTGAATCCCTCTGTGTTTGTTGCCTCAAGAAATTGAATTCAACACAATACTCCTCTTTGTATACAATTTGAAAGTCAGCAAATATCCTGTACTACATACAACTCTGAGAGACTTTGAACTAGGTCTGGTATCCATGGCTGATACCACCCCTCAACAACACCAGACACTGGGACACAACTGACCATGACCCAGAGGACATTTGAGTTGAAATGTTAACTTTTTCTGAACATGAGATAACATTTGTGAAAATGAAACCAGAGATTTTTTTCTTTTCTCTAGGATTAGTCCACTTTTTTTAGCCTTTTAGGAATAGATTACTTTTGGGGGAACAAAGACCTTTTTTAAAAATTCTTTCAACTGCTTACAACAAGGCAGCCCATTCTTGTGCCCTGCGGCATGTCCAAGGTTTCATAAAAGAAAGACGTTTAAGATGAGAGACCAATGCTTGAGAGCCATGGGGTATCACTTCTATACTCAATGAATAGAAGAGGTTTTTATAATGAACAGCCTGGGGTCTGGCTAACAAGAAAACTTAGGACTGAAAGTTGGTCTGAACTTTAAGACTGAAATTGTAGTCTACTACCTTGATCCAAGTTGAATATAGTAGTAGCCAAATAAAAGGAAACATCATTCCTGGTTCATTGAAAGATGGAAATGGCTTTGGACACTGGTTACTCTCTAGAAGTGGACTCATCTTAAACTAAAAAGACCACAACTTTCAGTGTTAACGTTAAGACCACCTATAGGTCAGGTCTAGTTTCTAGTATAAACCAGGCCCCTACTTCTCCTCGTCTCTGTCACAGTGAAGAAGTCTGCCCAAGTGGTCATAATGTGCCCTGTGTTTTCCAGGCTGGGTGTTGGTCTGTGTCAGGGTGTGGAAGTATCGGCTCACTGACCCTACTCACCAAGTCTGTTGTATTGGGTATATATATATATATATCACTGGGTGCACTCCTCAGACAGATCAGACTTTATTTTCAGTTTCATGTTACCAGTGATAAAAACATGGACATAGTCAAACATGAATGGTGTTTATTTACAAACAAGTACTCGCGATATCATATCAGTATTTTTAACGATGTGTGCCTCTTTAAAAATTGTGCTGATTCTCTGTCTCATTCTTTTTGAGAGAAGGAGTGAGGGAAGGGGATTGACAAGATTATTCTTTTCAAATTATTGTATTTCTTTTCAAAAAGCATTCGTAACTCCGGTTTAAAACATGAAAATTACGTAAAAAAAAAACTTAAAAAAAAAAAAAAAAGGTTGTATTTTACTCTCCTTTTGCCCTGAAAATCAACATCAAACCATCCTCCTGATCAATGCCTTCCTTCATGTACCTGTCACACTTACTCCCAGGCATTACTTAATCTCCAAACCTAAAACATCCATCAATAATTCACGGCTCCCAGCATGAGGGGTACTATATCATTCATAATAAAAGCTAAATTACAGCACAACACACACAGTCATTCCCAGGTAAACATCACATACAAAACATAGTAATTATAACATATGTAAATATCGCGAATCAATTCTGGCCTGTGATCAATATTAATATGTCGACCAATCTACACCGCCATTGTCAGCTCTACCAGTGTCTGCACTTGACCATCAAGCGTCCTATTGATTAGTGACTGGAATCATTGAAGGGCCTGTCATAACACCCAGGGAAGTTGTATTCTTATAATATCACACCCAATGTGTGTGCAATATTTGAACTGTCATTATGAGGCTTTTGAGCGTCATTATTCATATCTGCGCTGCAATCATGACTTTATCGATCTCAGGTAGTCGTCACTCAGAGACCGTCAACGATTGTCAAGATTTTTGTTATTGAAGGCTCCATTTCTAGTAAACATACTGCATCCCATGTTATTAATATCAATCAGAAATGAAGCCCTTACTACACTGTAAACGGTAGATGGATAACAGTGAACAATGGAGATATACCCATAAAAGTAGATTACCACTGGTTCTGTGGTGGATTTGCGTACAATTCATTACTACCAGCAACTCCACCAGAATGGGATAAAAGTGCAAATGGACAGAGGTGGTGAAATTTTGAAAATAAATCTACATTTTTTCATCCCCGTCACAATCAGTATTGATCTGAAAGTAAAATGGGTGACGCACGACTCCCAAGTGAAGCCTCTCACAAGAGCGCGGAAACTCTCTGCATAGACCATGTTTAATATTCCCTCCATGGCTTCACTTCAGTGTGAGAAGAATACCTAATGAGTCAGGGTCTATTATGGTTTGTATTTATTTTTAATACTTTCTCCTTGGAAGCCTAAGCCAGTACTAGTAGATGTACAGGTAAAGTCTGGGTCAAGTTCCACAACAGAAGCCAAACTGAGAGTTGGTCCCAACTTTTAACTTCATAAATTTTTGTCAACTTCCATCTAGGAGAAATTTGTTTTAGTCAACTTAAGAAAGACAATTTGTCTGACACATGAACCATGTCTTCCCTTTTGTGAAACAGACACGCTATTTCTAATCTTAGGGACCTCTTACTGATAAACCTTGAGTCAAAGTAATCTGAAAACTAGTCTTCACATTAAAACCAAGTAAAAGAAAGCTAGGACACTTCAATAAAGTCTCCCTGATCAGCAGCCGCCGACACGTGTGGCACACGCCAAGCACTTTCTTCTCCACAAGGACCCAGGTATGCTTTTCTTAAAACAAATGAGAAACTGAGAAATCACCTGCTACCTCCACAACCATCAACTTGTACAGAGACATTAGGAAATCCTGGAATATAATCTTCTCCCTTAATACAACACAAAAGAACAATGTATGTGAACAGTATGTATTACACACCTAGCAAATAAATATGAGATAACATAATGAAGAATGAAGTGTGAATCATAGACAATTTTCAAATGGAAGAAAAAAAACCCCCAAAATCTATCAGATGAGAAATTTCCCCTTGAGATTTGTCTCATGATTTTTTTAAAAAACAAAGCAGCATCCCGTGACTCATAATCAGATAACAGTTTCCAGTAGTTGGGAGAGGGGAAATGAATTAAAACATGCATCATCCTGATACAGAGTAGGGACCATGGACACATTAGGATGTACTAACTTACACTGGAGAAATACTAATTGACTTTAATGGACAGCCAGATTAACAATATGACTCTTATTTGTCCTCTTTGAAGTCTTTGAAGTACTAGTAATATGTTCTGGACTCCCCATAGTAAAGTGATGTATAGTTCTTCAATTTATATGGATTAAAAAGCCTTCTGCTTTTAGACTTTTTAGTCCAGAAAAAGATTTCAAATTTTCTTATGAAATTTATAAATAACATCATTCAACTGTACTCCAAAAATTATCAGAAACTTTTAGCACAATAATTTTTTGTCGAATGATATATTCACCTCTTCAAGTTTGGCTACAATAAAAGGTAATTTTTTTTTGTTTCTATTAGTGATAATTGGTTCAAAATTTTGAGTTAAACAATAAAGAGAAAATTTCTCCAAATGAGAGTGCAGCAAGTAGCTGTCTAGTGATGTCATTAAGTCTGGTTCCATTCTAAGTTAGCCCTCATGTGAATGCAACCATCCACTCCTTGCAAGACCCCACAGTATTTCTGGGGCTTCTGAAGGAGTACAACAGCAGCACTTCATATGTCAGATATAAGAAGAAAAGAAATGAGTGTGTTGCTATTTTTATCACTTACCTCTAGAGTTTGTCGCAATGTCAGCGACTTTTTGGAAAGCTTCTAAAAAAGCTCCTGCTGCGAGAATTGTAGTTCTGAAGAGAAAAACATAATTATTTTCAAAAATCTTTTAAAAAACTTAATGCATTTATTGACGTTTATATCCCAGAATAAAGTATGCATTCAAATTACACTCAGTTAAAGGATCTGATAACCCAATGAAGAAAATGACTAGAGCTTGGTTCGTTTCCACCTCAGCAAAACAAGGTCGCTCAAACCATCAACTAGTAGATACCTGATAAGAAATAATGTTGTTTCCTGATTAAGTTCTAATCACGGAGATGAAAATTACCAACATAAATATTCATAACTCAATTTAAGTCGTGAGACCTAAAGAATTTTGGCATGACTTCCGTTTCAGCCAATCTAATAATTACCTAACTCAGTAAATAATATTTCAAGTCTCTGGGAGATAAGTCACTGTAGATTTTATACAGCAACTAACTGCTTCGAACTTAAACATGGCTACAGATTTTATTACGCAATTGCAAGATTGAAATATCTCAAAATGTCCAAGTTTGTTTTTATTTCATTACAAGTTCTTATAACCATGAAGATCTTTCTTTTTCTTTTTTTGTAAAATCAAGTGAGTGTAATTAAACAAATACAGTTGTTTTCCTTCAATGACACTCATTTTAATTACAAAATCTGAAAATATTTAATAATGCTACAGGCCCATTAGAAGAAACCCTGAATGTAAGTTGAAAAAAAAAAAAAAAAAAAGAAAGTAAAAAAAAAATAAAAGGGCTGACTCTGTTGTCATCTGCATTAGACAGCTCATTAGCCCCATACGTGCTCAATAACTACCATCTTTCATTAACACAATTAAACGCCTTAACAGGGCACTATCACTAACCCCCATACCCCAAACCATGTATAAACACAACTCAATATTGATAATCCATATTTTCCAAGCACACCATATGCTATACGCTTCACAGAGGGCCTTGAGGAAGCTGTATATCCCAATAAACTGTGGCATGAATTATGCATTAAGGTGTAGTCTTCATTGTAGATTACCTACTGTGCTATTTCTGCCATCAATTAAACAATGTGGTAAGATTACACCCGTGACCTTGTACAATCTGGTCTTATTCACTCCTATGAAATTATCCCTCCCCAGGGAGACATCATCCCTCCCAAGGGAGAGAACACCCAGGCTTTCAGAGATCTACCTGGCAATGTTAACAATGATGAGATGCTAAAGTATCTTCCTGGTTTTGGTTTTTGATGAAAATTCCCGCAACCAATTAGAATTTCAAAAGAAAACAAGGATAAATTTGAATGTGATCATATCTTTCCTTATGAGAAAATAAGGATATGTTTAGGACTGAGCATAATCTGAACATGGACATTTTCAGGAACTAGGATGTGTGTTGCCCTGCTTCATAGCCTCCAACCCCCCCCCCCCCCCCCCCCCATCATCTAATAGTGGAAATAAAATATATCTTACATTCACTTTACTACTGCATCACAAAACTACTTTCTCATCTTTTGAAAAATGAAAATATATATAAGAGAAAAAGTTTTAGTCAAATGCATAATTTTTTTCTTTTTCACCTAATTTATGTTGTACTTCAAGTGTTAACTGATCAAATACCACAGTAATAAGATCTGAAACTAAAACAAAAATTTGCTACAAAAAACATATAAAACAGAGTTGTGTAAAGAAAACAATACACGGTTTCGAATTCTTATGCAAGCTTTGAATACAAGCATCTACAATGTGAAACTAATTATTTTGAAATCTGTTTTCAATTTCAATTACACAAAAGTCTATGCAAACAAACTTAGGTGTTAGTTACCTTAGCACTGTGTTGAGTTTGATGGCCTTTGCAGCAAAGTCTTCCCAAACTGGGTTACTGTTCTGAAATAGAAAGACAAAGACTGTCATCAATCAATAGTAAATCCACGTTCATTAAATTGCTCCATCATTGAGATCCAATCTTGAATTTTAATAAAGACAGTATTATGATGTGTCAAGTGAATAAGAAAAAAACGTTTATCACAATCACTCAAATAGACATCTTCAAAAATATGCAGATTCATAGCAATCAATTTTGTTTCCTAGAAAATGTATCTGAATTTAGTTTAGGAACTTAGTTTAGAGTAAACATTTTCACCAGGTATATCCCCGTGAAATGTTCAGATCTCATAAGGAATTACTAGTACAATGGGCAAATAGAGGCAAATTGGTGCAAGAAATACAAAGAGACTACCGCTTACCTCTGACTTATTTGTAATTAAATCATACACTAAGTTCAGTTTCAACTTTTCTTTCTGATATATACTACATCAAGGACAGAATCAACACTTTAAGGACTACACAAACATGTTTGATCTTAAAAAAAAAAGTTGTAGATTTGGGAAAGATTCACACTACACTCCTAGGGTTATCTTGGATTAGAATAAGCTGTGGCATTTTGCTTTGCTGTGAAAATCTTGCCAAATATTTCACATTAATCACGAGATGTTGTCAAAATGATGGCATCATGACAGAATAAACAAAAACAGATTTATTTCAGCACTGAAATGTCATTATCTCCTTATAATTCCACCAGATTGACAGAAAAGACACTAATTCAGATTGAAGATTCTAAGAAAATAACTCCACGGAGATAAGAGTGCTAGAAAAAAGAAACACTGTAGAACAACAACGATGAAATCAAACTCGAGCCCTGCATGCACTGTTTTTCCATTCCAGGAGTTTTTGTTTGTTTTAGCGCCTCTGCCATAAGGCCAATCTCCCCAAGCCGGGCATAAAATGGCAACTAGAGGCTCTTGAACAAACAAAGAAACCAATCAAATTTCCAGGCAGACTGGATATTGCTAAGAAAATATCACCAGGAAATTACCAGGTGTTCAGCAGCTATGATTTCTCATACGGCAGTAAACTGCATTTAAAGGCCTCTCATCGCGTTATATGTGAAATATGCCGCATCTTGGCTTATCACTGAAAATTACATACAAAGCATGTATCAGGTATGCCATTTGCCTGTTACTATATGATTACACATGGGTCTTGATCCAGAATTCTAAATTGGTAGTTACTCCTATAAAGATTTCTTCAGCTTCTCAGAAGAACAGGTGTACAATATGGCACTGACACATATACAATACACCTTAATGGACAGCAGAAACTTTTTCTCATGAAGCAGAAAACCCTTGAAGGTGAATCAAAATCATCTAAACAATTTGCCCAAAGTAAACAAATATACCAAAGAGGTTAGCGCACAGTGTAAACACAACTTGCATACAACACTGTAGGTCTTTCTCTGTTCTCTCTCTGTGGCAATTAAAGAGCTCATTTACTGCTGTTATACTAGTACAAAACGGGTTACCTAACACCGTTTTGCAACCCCTGGCGTCAAATTAACTCTCCAAGTTGGTAGGGCTGACACGTGCAAAGCTTGTCAAACCCCGTGGACACTACGAAACTCCCATGCACGGTGGAAAGCAACTGTTCATCTGAATTAGGAAATTGAAGTTTCCAAAATTGGATCTTAACTTTGGAGACTACCTATGGGTTTAATAGAAAAAAGCCCACCATGTAACAAGAAGTGACTTTGGTAACTTATTAAGAGTCATGGTCATTTAAAGGACAAATGCATGACATCAGCCTTGAGGAGAAAAACAATGAATTGACAGTAAAGTGAACTTTGTTTTCAATTTGGAAAACTACATCCAATTTTAAACCCAAGTTCACATTAGTGGGAAAAGGTTTTGCTTTCTTTTTATAATGATATATTGTTATCATAGTCTATGGAGAAGAGGGAGCCACTTCAATCCACAGAAAATATTTACAAAATCAGAGGAGATAATATATATATTTTATGAAGTAAGTCCAACAAAGGCAACATAATCCTAAGAAGTAATACTGATATCTTAGACCCCATTCCCATAGATTTTAGACCAATCTATCCCTGTGGGGAGTCTCGCTAGATTACTGTCAGCTTAGCCGGCTTAAGCATCTGTCCCGCCTACTAAAAGCTGTAAGGGGGTAATTAACTATGGTGCGTGCTCGGCTGACTGCAATTTAGAGTGAATCCCCAGGGAGTTAGGTTGATCTAAATCTTAATCTCTGGATCGATCTAAATCTCTTGGAATGCACCCTTACTGACTGAAGAAGGGATTTTTAAAGATAACTTCTGAACAGATGTGTTGTATTTTTTTTTCTCTTTTACAAAAGAGCAAATAACCCATCACTCATCTTGGGCAATTCCATTACATAAATGTAGCATTACACAGAACAATCCAAGGGGAATTTCCCCCAGCAAATCAAGTGTATTGCCAGATAATAATAATAAGATAGAAATGTAAATGCTGTTCACTTTTCCATGGGCAAAAACATTACCAGATTGTACTCACAGAGATTATATATTTGCTTTCCCCATTTCTCATGGGATATGAATTGAGAGAATTGTACTTCCCACAAAATATAACACATTTCTCAGGCTACATAGTTCTAGTTTCATGAGGAAAAACTGTTACAAGTCTTGCTGATGGTTTTCCAGGATAAGTTGTCATATATGAGCATGTAAATGACGGAAGCTAGACAACCAACAACAGCAAGCACTCAGCTCTGCCTATAATAAAATTAGGACATATTACTGGAAACAAAGTAATCCCACTCTTCAGGAATTCCCTCAGCTGATCAGCCACGACTGAACTGAGCTGTCGAAATCGTTTCAGGCAATTTCCTGTTATTTTACAACAGCAATCAAATTCTGCTGATGGCCCAGCAGTTAATGGTCGGTGGTACATCTGACAACCTTCACCTCTTGTTCCTGTACTTCAAGTTCACTATAAATCATGCCTATCATGTACACACAATTCCAGAACACATCATTCTACACTGTTCTACAACAGGTGTGGAGTCACTCCCATTTCATGATCATATTCAGATCGTTCTATTGTGTTTTGAGCTAAATACTGCTCTGATGGAACAAATTATCAGTTCAAAATTATGTTGTTCTATTGATTTAAGAATGTTAGGAGGCATACAAGAAGTAAGGTTTTAGTGACTAAAATGAAGATGGTCAAGACAAGACTGTGTACGAATATTCTCTTCTTATTTTAAGTTCAACTTGACTATATTTCTTTGTGTCCACATCTCACAATTGTGATAATATAATATTGACAACACAGCGTGAAATCATGTTTAGACTATTATTCAATTATTTATGACAGTCTAGTGATGCTCTTAGACTATGACATATGTTCTCTTCTGAGTTAAACAGACATGCCACCAACCCCCACACACAGACACTGCATGATAAGATCTGTACGGAAACCCAGCACAAATTAGACAGCACAAACAAAGTATAGAATTTCATGGACAGAAAACCCATTCCATATCGTCAAGACTGCCATTCCCCCTTTCTTGTAATAAAATCGAGGTCAATTTATCTTTTTAAATAATCAAAACAATTGAATAAACTGCTATTGGAATGTTACAGACAGACTGGTATGAATGTTAAAGAAAAATCTAAACAAAGGCAGTGATCAGGTACATATATATCAGGAAGTCTTGGGCCGTTACGATTTCATGGTTAACAAAATAGACCCTTTGTAAGTAATTACGAGCTCCTTATCAACATCAACGTTGACTCTTAAGTCGATCCTGCATGAAGACAACATATCTCGTAACGTTATCGTGTGGGAAACAATTGATAAGATCTCACACAATCTATGAATACTACGAGCGCTGAAACAGCGTTAGTATTGCCGTCGTGTCTGACACTTTCTTCACTTCTTATCATCGATCGTTTTTTTTTGTTTTTTTTTGCCGTGCTACTGATACCCCCGTCTTACCTTCATATCGTTTATTATCGTCTGGAACAGTCCCCCTAGGGCGCTGCAGTCTTTTTCTATATTATCCATGTTTTAAAATCGAAGTTATCGAGGCGCAGGAAAGTATAAAATCCGGTGAAATCCAACGTGGTTCACTTGGTCAGCTGTTGAGTGTTGTTCTCTTATCTTTCGTCTCCTTGCTTCCAAGGCGCAACAATTACTAATAAAGACTTATGTATGTGAGTAGAACTCTTAAGTATAATCCTCGAACGTTGTTATATCCATCTTGACAGGAATGCAGCTCGAAAACTCGTCGAAAAGTGGTAAAAAGTTGAAAAACTTTCGTCCAGCAAAACTCTCACTCAGTCGATCCTTTGAAAGATGGAAGAGACAACATTAAGTCACGTGAGCTCGTGAAGGATTCTGATTGGCTCGCGCTTACTTCCGGTAAGTTGGTGACCTTTTCTGAATACGTAAAGGATTGGTTCATTCACAATACGGAGTGGTTGACATTTGCCCTTATAGCTATTAATTCTGCTGTGGGATGTGATTCATTGTTATAAAAGTAAAATAAAATGTGTGCACTTTTTTATTTTAACAGCAACGTGGAAAAATGTGTTATTGGAAAGAAAGAGGAAATGCAGTTCATTTAGTGCGCCCAGGTCCCCTGTACTTGTTTTTTCAGTGTGATTAATTTTTTTTGCAACAATTTAAAATGTGACCAAACTGTATCTTTTCTAGTCTTTTCGGTCGGTGTTTTTGCTTTCATTTGCCACAAGTCACCAAATAAGATTTGCCTCTGCTTGCCACTGTGACCTGCTATGCACGTAAAATTAATAAATAGTTTTTTTTTAAGTGAGGAGTTGAACGTACAGTACAGTATAATGGGAGGAACTGTTTGAAAAAAAAAAGGATAAAAAATTTCAAGTGTATATCTGGAATAATTTTGTACTAAAAAAAAATCACATTCATATAATTTTCATTTAACAGTCCAGTCTATGGATTTATAAAACCAGCTGCAGTTCCCAATGTGTAAAGTCCCTGTTGTCAGAACAATAAATTTATTTTGATGAAACCAACAACCAATTTGACAACAACTCCAATTTCTCAGTCATATTGCCGCAATAGCACCTGGTTAACAGACCAAATAACATATTGAAAGGCTTCTCAGTTTTTATCAATGGCTTATCGAATACTGTAATAGCTATTGATCCATCTCTCCCAGTTCCAAGACCTGAACATAAGGCATGCATAATACAACTCTGTTATCTGGGTAATCTCCCAGGAGATTACTGTCACGCTGGATTATCATAAAGAAAAGATTATCAATTTTTAAAATTGACCTTTTCACATTATTCACGAATGGTGTATTTTTAGAATAGCTTTTGAGACAGGCGTTTGGATTCTCTGTTTTCTTTCATGAATTAAATATCAAAGTGTTCTAAAACCATTTTCAAAATATCAAAGAATGCGAATAATAAAGTATGGAGTTGAACAATCACCAATGAGATGACTGTAGAATAAACATGAAATCCTAGAAGCCGTCTTACATAATTGCGTGTAATACTTAATATTTTCATGATAAACAGAAGTTTGTGCTCCCAGTTAGTGTTACACTCAGTGCCATCTTTTGGCAGAATTATGCACTAAACATCATTTCAGCAATTTGCCTTTTAGCTGGGTAAAGAGGTGGTTAAATCTGGATGGATGAAAAAATATATATAAAGAGCCAACAAACATCTATACCTACACAAGATTAAGATGTGAAGCATTGGTTCAGTTTTTTTTCTTTTTTTTTTTTTCATTTAAATTGGGTTATTGTTCTCTTGCAATTTTTAGTATCCTGTCTATTGTGACTTTTGAATTACCCTTTCTTGTGTCACAATGACTGAAGATTCCAGCGAATACCACATATTGTTCTGATATATATGAGTGGCATTAATATTAATATGTGGGAATAAAAGGTACTTGGTCAGAAAAAAAAAAAAAAACAAACAAAACAAACAACATATACCTCACATTTTTAATTTTAATAATACTTGACAAAACCTCAAAATAACAGAAAGTAATTCTTCTTCAAATAAACCTCTTTTTCACTTCTATTTTCATTTACTAAAACATTCATAAAATTAAAACTTCATATTCGAACTTTCCGGATTCTCTTTCAATCTTTTAAATAATCATATAAATTTGTAAAAAAAATAAAAAATAAAAAATAAACATTTTTTCCAACTTGGGCCAAAAAAATTTTTTTTTGGTAATTAACATGTTACTGGAAACTTTATGCACAGAATAATAACAACATTCACCCAAATTTCATGCTCCAGCATATTTCAACATCTTTTACTGAAAAACACATATCTTATGGCATAAACAAAAGTTCAGATTTCTCTCTGTTGTTTCAACACAATGTAAACAGTACCAACTGTTCACAGGGAATCAATTATACTTCATGATTACTTGGGATTACCTAGTACAACTGACTTTATTTACAAAAATGTACACCAGTCAAGGTAGAATATGTCCTTAAAAATTGAACACGAACTAATGGTTTTGCATTCACACATATTTCATTATACATATTGACCTTTGCAATAAAAATTGATAAATAAATAAATAAATAAATAAATAAAACTATTGCACTTAACATACACTTTGTGCACATTCACTTTATTATATTAATTATCCACTTAGAAGACCTGGAAGCTTTACAATGCTATGGCCTGGAAGCCATAGTTAATTATACCAGACTGAGCCTGTGTCGCCACCAGCACTTGAGACATTTACAACATCAACCTACACTCAGCCACACCAAGAAAAGGAACTTAAGAATTCATACAAAGCAAATAATTCAGTAGAAAACATTGGACTTCACAAAACAAAGAAAAAAAATCAATTTAGTTCAATATAAATGCATAAATTAAAAAAGAAAATTAAAACCTCCAAAGGCCTCAAATTCCCTTACAATAAGGAATGAGAATACCCCACAATCAAGTTACCACTGATAGTTACATCCCAATGTACAACCATAGCCATTTTTATTAAATCAGTTCAGTTTGGTTGGATAATATTAATAAATAGTTCTTTGAGGTACCTCACTTTCAGTAAGCATCTGCTTTTAATGGAAATGCTTTTAAACTTTAAGTATTAATTAATTTTTAATTGATTGTTTTCTTTAAAGAATTAATTTTTACCATGGTCATGTTTTTTGCTCATTTTGTGCTGTAATCATCCTTAAATAAATAAATAAATAAATAGTTTAAAGTGGTTGTAAAAATAAATGTTATAGCGGGACTCCAATCACAGAATATTATATAAACTGGTGCTATACTTAATCTATTTTTATAAACCACCAAATGGTGCTATACTTTATCTATTTTTAACTGTCTTGCAGTTTCTTTTCTTCTGGTTGTTTTCTTGGACATCCTATGTTTTTCTTGAGTGTCTCTAAATATCTCTAGCAGTTTCTTAAAGTCTATACTTTTCGTTGTTTTCTTTGATTTTGTTCCACTTATGGTTTTTCTAAAACAGAAACAATAATTTACATGCAGTAACAATGTTCAAACAAATACTTTTGCATAAAATGAATAAAGATACTTGAGATTTTCTAATAAAATCTTTATTATACCAAACATACAAACACATAAATAACATTTACAACAACAACATATATATTATATTAACATATAAATTAATATTTTAATAAGAAATAGACTTTATACCCACTTTTCCACCTGGTACTGAAAGCTGGGCACACACTCCAGGCGATGGCGTAGCGTTCTGAAGGCATCCCCCTGCGGCAGAAGCATTAACAGTGCGTACAAACTTGTGATCAGAGACTGGTTGAGTTGAGGGTCTAACAACTGGAGGCGAAGGTCTGCAAATAATGATAATAATAATAATACTAATGATAATAAAACTATCTCTAAGTGACAGTAACATCGGCAGGACTTATAGACTGAGAATCGAGCACCAGATTTAGTTGAGTTGTTTACATAATTAACATCTGGAGTCAAAGAACTACAAGAAGGGATCACATATGATAAATTTTCACTTTTGATCCATCAAAAATGGACTTTTACACCTTTTTTAATACACCTGAAAGAAACTGCGAGTGTTTAACCAGTTTGAAGTATACTTACATGTAAATATTGGGGATTCAATTAATTGCACCAGTTTGTCAATTTCTGCCAGGAATTCCACCGTCACCTCCACATCACCACTTTAAATAGAGTTAAGGAATATATAAATCCTAAACAGCAATTTTCCCCTTTCAATCCTCTCTCTTTTGCCCATGAAATCAACAACTTATGTCCTTAACTTATTGCACACAAAACAAAAATTACAAATAAATTGCACTGAGCAAAGAGAAATAATTTAACAAGAAATAGACTTATTTTTAAAAATTCTTATAAATGGAAACTGTTACATGGTGGTGAATAAAAATCATTAGTATCCTGACATAGATTTCATAAAAAAATCTTCAAAGGCAAGGATACAACAGTAGAAGTACATTTGAGGCATGTTCATAGTTCTGTGTCAGGAAGCACAGTGAGACAGTGGCAACAGGGCTATGGCACCATGTGTGATACAGACAGCAGAACAGGGAACAACTCTCCTGGAAAAGAAATAATAATAATAATAATAATAATAACATTAATAAAAATTGTTGATATTTCCTGTAATAGCAAAGAAAGGTGATGAAATGATATAAATAGCAAAAGGGGAATGACTTCAGGGATTAGACCGCCATTTAGTGACAAAGTAAAAAAAAATATGATGTGAGTTCAGGGAGGCTAATATTTTTGACTCTCAAAAAGTGGGAATTCTGCCAATAGTCAGAAAAATCTCATCCCTGACATTTTCTAGGACAGAAAAATTACAGACTCAAATAACTTTTTTGAGTTATGTGGATGACAGGCAGACAGAAAGACAGACAGACAAACAAACAAACAAACAAACAGGGGTGAAAACATAACTTCCTTGGAGGAGATAAATATTCAGAATGACAGAATGAATAGGGAAAAACTTTCCAAGAAGAAATGCAGAAAGAAAATGAGTTTATCACAGCTGATGGATTTCAAAAACTGAATTAACAAACAATCCACATACTTCATTTTTTAAATCCTTGAGTAAATTCCTCAGATCAAAAAGCTCTGTTGAGGTAAGTAAGATGATGTTCAGTGTCTGCACCATGTGACAGGCAAAGCGGAGATCATTCTCGTGAAGAAGAATCTCGGAGAAACTTCTGTAGATGGCCTCTGCATTCAACATCAGACACAGCTGCCTGAAAGAGCAAAATACTATTTAATAAAACTCCATTACTTTGAAGGAAGTATCTACTGAGTGATGAAAAATTAAACAAGACTGTAAACTGAGTACTAGCTGACAACCAACAGGTGGGTGACTAAAGTCATTGAGAGCGATATATGCAAATGAACAATTCCTGAGCTATGCAATAAGTATAATGCAACAACTTTATTAATTAAATTAAATTATTCGATTTATATGTATGTTTAGGTTCCTGTACTTGGTGTAGATGAAATATTGAATTAAAAAGGTTCTGTGTGTCACTAAAGCAAAAAAATCTTTCTACAACTTTGCCTTAAAATCATCATGCACAAACACAAAACAATTAACCTACGAGTATCAAAACATGATACAACTTTTCTACAATTTTCTTACTGCAAACTACAAATCTTCACAACCTTATAATAAAAGACCCCCTGTCCTCCAGCAGCTGCTTGTCCTTGTTGAAAGAGTCCAGCAAAATGACCATAAACTTCACAAAGTAAGCACTCAGTCCCGTGGGTTTGGTCACCTTGGCCTGGCTGGGCAATCCCATCTCCTCGTAGTTCAGGGTGATATTATTACCCGCGGGGTTGGAGGAAACTTCGGTCAGGACCTCAAGGTCCAGCAGGACAACCTGGAAGGAGATTTCAGACAATTTTTAAATTTAAAAGACATAAACAATGAGATACATTGAGATATCAGTCTTTAATAAGCCTAAAACAGTTCAGAGCTAGAAATCTGTACCAAAGCAGCAAGCCTGGTGCAATGCTTGACATGCTAAAGTATCTTTAAACATAAAACTGGGAAAGAAATGAGTTACAAACCAGGGTTTTGCTACAAGTTTCAAATTGATTAACTTCACTTGAGATGAACCAACTTCCAACGTAGAGTATAACTAAAGATGAGATCTGAAGTTGTAAGCTTGGGAAAATTTAGTTAGTATTTATGATAAAAACAAGCAGCTTACCTCATCTGATGGATCAGACAGTGTTTTCATCAGCAATGGAAAGAAGTCATCCACAAAGCAAAACATCTGTAAATGGTGCAGTCAGTGTTATAGTGTACAGATTGAAACATTTACTACACTACATTTACTAAGACAATATGCATAGTAATATTACATATTCATGTGAACACAGCCAATGTCACGTGTTGACTTCTTTTTTATGTTGAATGGTGCCTTATTAGCATATTTATTGCACTTTTACACAGTAACAGTGAATATAAGGATGAAAAAAATATTACAAACTTTACTGCAAAATATATAACTTTCATGTAAATATCATCACTGCTTGCTATCTCAAAATCAAAAGTTTCGAAAAAGTATAAAACCTGAAGCCTACTACCTTCTCTGGTGTTTTTTGTAGGAGGTGATAAATCCAACGTAGCGAAGCCTCTCTGGTGGCTATGGCCTCATGGGACAGATACTTCATCAGCACTCGTACCACGGCACCGACGTCCAGCAAGAGGTCATCGCTGACACCCTGAACCTTACTGAATGTGAACACACTATTCAGAGAGGGTGGGGCAGAGAGGGAGGAGAAGCAGAGATCATGTTAGAAATCAAATGTATAATTATATAGAAAATCAG